TGTTCATAGCAGCTTTGCTGGTAATAGTCCAAAAATAGAAACAAACAAAATCTCCTTCAACAGATGAGTCATTAAACCTTGGTATACCCAAACCATAGAAAATACTACACAGAAATGAAAAGAAACAGATAACTGATACATTCAGTTTAGATGAATCTCAATAGCTTTATGCTGAATGGAGGGAGTCCATTTCAAAAAATTTTCAAAAAATCACCTTTTATATGATTCCATTTATATAATATTCTCAAAAATCACAAAATTATAGAGCTGGATGGTTAGTATTCAGGAACCTGAGATGATTGAGGGAAGAGGTAGATCAAATGAAGGAGATCTTTGTGGTGACAGTTCTGTATATCTTGACTATAGTGGCAACTGCAGGAATCTACATATGTGCTCAAGCAACACAGAGCTATGTGCATACATTGTACTGATGTCAATTTTGACACTGTGCTACAGTTATAGAAGATGGAAGGTGAAAGGGACAAAGGCCTCCTCTGTACTTATCTCTGCAACTTAAGTGAATCTATACTTCGAAATAGAAAGTTTTTATTGAAAAACCTAACTATGCCCAAGTGTAAGGCAAAATGTATTGCACAAACATTAAAAGTAGATCATAGTTAAGTATTATACCTGAAAAAATATCACCTTCACAATTTATAAAGTACATTTTTGCCAATATATCTTTGGCTATGTAGGTATCCGCTAAATTAATCATCAAGGTTTCTGTGTATATTAAAACAGTGTCCTCCTGAAAGCCTCTGGAACAATAGCGCTTGGAATTTTAACTCTCCCTCTAACTGCAGGCTTCCACCTGAAAATAGAACTTGTGCACTTTTGCTTCTGCATCTGGACACAGGAGGGCTAGAGTGATGGATGGCAGACAGCAGCCAACACTGGTGTTCCAACAGATCTCAGACACTCTGAACTATGAAAGCTACCTGCTGAGACCCAAGCCACTCTCTTTCTCGAGGCCAACCAATGCCCGGGGACTCTAACATCTTTCCTATCAAAATTCAAGCCTCTATAATGTAGAATCTCAAAAACAGATGGCTTAAACCAAAGACCAATGGCCATGATCTAACAATGCTAATCACACCTTCAGTCCAAAAGTTGTCAAGTTCTCTAGGTATCAAAACTAGACTAGCCTAAATCATCCAAGTGAATTTGAAGGCATAGACAGTGGTGAAGTCTTCCTGAAGAGATTTTAGAACAGCTTTCTTGGGTATGCATTTCCTTAATATTCTAGTCTTCTAATGTCATACAGTCCCAATTCAAATGTAGAGACTTTGGCTCCTTCAAAGGACATTCCACTTCCAAGAATATGATCAAGCCACTGCATACTCATGCATGAATGCTAAATTCTAGACACTTTTTCATTGCTGGGAGGGCTTATGTACTAATTCTTCCATTCTTTTAGTCATATATTGAACCTAGAGTGTTATAAACCCAGAGTTTCTAAATACAGAGATTAATAAAACTTTCTTTTACTAGTTTAAATTGTAAAAGCAAAAATAAAACTATATCCTGGGGTTGACTTCAATTCACAAACTCAGTTATTAACTGGAACATTTTCCAAACTGTGCATCTCACATCAGATTCTGGTTGCTTTTTTGGAATTGAATGCACTGCCAACAAAACTTCCAGAATGTGCCAGATGCCACCTGACTGGATGCTGGTCCTGATTCCTTCAAGAGAGCTCTGTCAGGTAGACCACTCTCAATAGAATTAAATCATTCTGAATTTCGCATCATCTACCCAATACTGTTTTTCATGTGTTAATACATTCTAAAGAGTAAAATATGTTATTTCACATTTTTATTTTCTAAGGCCACATAAAATTAAATCAATTGCAAATGATAGAGATTAAAACACCTTTCTGAAGACAAAGCAATTCATTTTAATACCATTGGGGATTGGAGCCAGGAAAAATGTCAACACGGATCATTTATTAAAAATACAAAAATCAAGATACTCACAGCCAACCATCATCATGGCCACTGAAAACATCTTCTCCACATCTGTGGTAGGAGCTATGTTTCCAAATCCTATGGTTGTAAGGCTTGTCATGGTAAAGTAGAGAGAGGACACGTACAGTGAGTCCTTGCTGGGTCCTCCTTCCCATATCCCTGCGCTGGTATTGTACCTGTAGGGAGTCCCGATGCTCAAGGCCAGCTGGTAGAGCCAACTGTCTATCTGGATGGTGTTGGTGACTTCGTCGATGACCTCGTAGTCTCCAATGCTATACCATATGCAGGCCAACCAGTGGGCAACGAGTCCGAACACACACACCAGGAGCACGAGGACTGCCGCCCCGTACTCTAGGTAATGGTCCAGTTTTCTGGCCACACGGCCCAGGCGTAAAAGACGCACCACTTTCAAAGAACTGAAGAGGCTGCTGATTCCCTGAATGAGAGATAAGAAATGACAGCTCACTTTCAGAAAACAAAAAGTTGGGGAAACACTACAGTGGGTCAATTTCAGGAACTTGATCTAAGCACAGACAGGATAGAGCTATGACTATACGTAAACAATCAAAAAAAGGGCCAAAATGATAAACCTTTTTAAGAAGTGCAAATTACACCACAATCAGAAATACAATTTTTCAATATCACCAGATAAAACCATTTCCCATTAGCTAAGGAATGCCCAGTTTATTTTCTAATATGGATTATAAAATAACAAACGAGAAAAATGTCCAAATACGCTATACACAGAGTGTAGAAATAGGGCTGGGAATTTCAGGCCTTTTATTTTTATAAAGCTTGACTCTACTCTAAAAGTTTTTTTTTTTTAATTTCATAATAGCTATGAACAACAGAACTTCTGAAGAAGGAAACCAATCTTACTAGCAAGCAAACAAGAAATACTTCTGTGTACATGGGGAGAGTGAGCAAATACCATTGTCAATCCGACTACTTCCTGCCACAATCCTGATAAACACTAAATCTTCAGAGTTCTGGAAAAGTGAACAGAGCCTAAATTAGGATGGGTACACAGCCTGTTAATTCCTATCACCCTCTAGCAATAGTTATAGAAAAGAATACCAAAAAGGAAGAGCAGCAAAAAATACTCATAGTTTTTGAAAAGCTTTACATACCAAATAAAGCATAATGCAAGTGAAAAAAAAAGAGCATAAGCTTTCTTTCTTCAAAGAAAAAGTAACTGTTATGGTTTAGATATTAGGTGTCCCTCAAAAGCTCATATGTGAGACAATGCAAGAAAGTTTAGAGGAAAAAATGATTGCATTATGAAAGTCTTAACCTAATCAGTGCCTTGATACCCTGATGGGATTACTAGTGGTGATTGTAGGCAGGTAGAGTATGACTGGAAAGGTCCCTAGGGGTATGCCACTGGAGTATATATTTTGTATTTGGTGAGTGGTGTCTCTCTCTGCTTTCTGATCATCAAGTGAGCTGCTTCCCCCTACCATACTCTTCAGCCATGATGTTCTGCCTCACCAGGAATGGAGCTGGCTGTCTATGGACTGAGACCTCTGAAGCTTTATCTCCTTTACAACTGTTCTGGTTAGGTCTTTAGTCACTGTCACTGTCTCAAAAAGCTGACTAAAATGGTAACAAAGCTTTTTTGTTTTGTTTTTAACACATGATAGACAAGGAGCTAAGGAGGGGGTGTCAGGATAAACATATTCCTGATACAGATCACAAAACAGGCAGGGAGGGAAGTCAGAGCAGTGACCTGGGAAGCCTCTTGTCCTGGGCTCATCACCTACAATTCAAATCATGTCCATGACCTCCTACTGCTAACTCTGTCTCCCAGAAGGTGAAGTTTAATTCTGACCAACACGGAGGGATTGGATGATGCAGTGGAAAGGGCTGACATTCACCAGGCTCCTCTTAGGCAATGATCATGTTCTTAATAGTTAAGGGGGAAAAGCTAAGAATACATTTGGCTTGTATTCTATCCTCTATAATATAGTACAGATTTGAAATATACCATAAGAATTTCAGAGTGAGAGAAAGAGAGAGAATACAAAGAAATAGAACAGGAGAACCCAAAGAAATGAGAGGGTAGCAGGGTCCCCCCTCCGGGTTTTCTGTCTCAACCTTGACTTCCTCAGTCATGCCTTGTTGAGCTCTCAAATGTCGAGTCATACGTGAAACCTTGAGATAAATTCTCATTTCACTTGAACTTTTTTTTTTGGGGGGGGTGCAGATATTGAACATTTAGGTAGTTAAAAAGAGTAGGATTAATAAAATTTGGGAGACAAATTAGCAATATTCAGTGACATGAGACACTGCAAGGTAAGAAGATCTGAGACAACTTAGAAGCTCTCAAAAATGGGCCTGTGTAATCACGAACATGAAAGACAAAAATAAGCATTTGTTGAGCATTTCTGTAGGCTGGGCTTCTAGTTGAGCCCTGGGGACATTAAGATAAATATATCTTGCTTCAGTTCTAAAGAAACCCATAATCAAAATGCATGAAAAACTCAAGAGTTCAATTTGAAAATAAAAATAACATTGCTGGAGATACTGTTTTCTAGGTAACTTGAATTTTTAAAGGAACTATGGAATTTCTGTTTAAATACTGAATAGAAAAGTCATTTCTACCTGAATTATTCTCTATAAAAACAAAGGAAGGGAAAACAAAAGAAATCTTCACCCTACTAGAATTAACAAAACAGCCACGACCAGAATGGAAATAATCAGAATCTACCAGAATTAAGCTCAAAGGATGAGAAGATATATTCCTCTGTTCTGTAGTAGGCAGATTTCTCCCCGAAGGACACCGGCTCTAGAGGCCACTCACTAAAAAGCACATTTTCTATATTCACATTCAACATTACTTAAATATTATGAAATATTGTTTCAATGTTTTTATTAGTATATTATAGTTATATAAGAACGGGGTTACTTTTGACATATTCATATGTGCATGCAATATAACTTGCTCATTTCAATCTCAGGACTTCCACTTTCCCTCCCCTCCCCTCTCCCCACTTCTCTCTTTACTCTGCGGGTCTTGGGTCTTCCTTCTATTATTACAAAATATTTTGTGAGCATCGTAAATTCTTTCTGCCATGGATTCTAAGACAATCGTTTCTCCTGGTTGTTAACCGATTCCTCAAAATCATTTTCTAGACTAACCTTCTCCACACTGCTATTGTGGCTTAGAGTTCTCATCATGATGGCCCTATCCCTCTCTGGTTCACCCACTGCATATTCAGGTTTCTGCAATCTTCTATATAAGGATGATTCACAGGTCCACTTCTCAGCACAAAAAGTATTCTATCTTGATTTTCTTACACACAAGCCACATGCCCGCAGCACATTTCCATATGGATGTCCCATAGGTATCCAAAAGGTAATAGGTCCCAAAGGGAATCTTCACTTCTCCCACCTGGGTTCTTTATCTCCTGTCTTATGAGTGACATCGTTATTCACCTCACTGCTCAGACTGAAGCTGAACTCAATGCCTCCTTTCTTCTGCCACATCCAGCTGGTTTTCAAGTCCTGACAATCTCAATACAAGTGCCTAAGTGCTCAAAATCTATCTATTTAATAAGTCTCTCAAAAATATTCCTTGTTTTCTGTTCCTACAGTCTTTTCTTGGTCACGATTCATGGTGTTTTGTTTGGTTTTGTTTTCATTTGTGTGATGGGAATAACCTTTGCATCAGCCGCCTTCTGTTCTCTCTACTGATCACACTGGCTGTCAGTCTAGTATTTTTTAAATGTATACCCATCTAATGATCTTGCTCTCAGAGCTAAAAATCTTTTCATATTAGCCCACTGCTTATGGGATCAAATATTAATTCCCAACTATGACATGCAAAGTCCATCAGGGCCTGGTACTTGCCCACTTGGCCAGCATCCCCCCCACCAATTCCTCCCTGGGCTTGCCATGGTACTGCCAGGTTCAGCCATGTGTAGCTCATAGAAGACTCATGCTACATTACAGCTCATTCCCTCTGCTTAAGACACCCTTCCCTCCCACTTTCTTGGTGGCCTGGATCTTACTTATAGTGATAACAAACACTACCTCTCTGTAAACTTTTCCCCACCTACCATTCTCACTGTGAGAACTGGGTTCCTTTCTTTGTGTTACACACACTTTGCACATCTCTATTACAACAATTATTACTATCATGCTTTATTACAAGTCTATTTGCATGCATCACATCCTAGGAAATTTGAAACTCGAGAAGTATATCTAATGTCAATTATGCAGCTGGCATATGGAACTAGGTTAAGCAGTCAATAAGCAAGAGGATAACTTTTGCAACACAAGCAAATTCAGCAGTGAATTGGGAATTTGGTCAATAATGAACTCAATATGATTTAAAAGTATAATGTAGAAAAGAAATAGTGAATGTAACTTTGGGTTATACTAAGAGAGTATGGCATTGAGTACGAAAGAGAATTTCTGTGTAACCTCTTCACTGACCAGGACACATGTGTAAGCGACACAATGCATATATTCATCAGACAACTGCCACACACAAAAAAAAAACAACTCAGAACCATACTATACCAGGAAATATGGAAGGAACTGGAAAAAAGCAGAATGAGGCAAGGCATAACTTTATTCAGATACAAAGGACATGAATGTTGAGTTCATTCTATATAATCCTAATGTGAGTAACCCGGCTCATAGTTGGAGCTGCAGGAAGAGAGGGATACAGTAAAGATTTCAACAAGCCTGTGCCATACAGCACCATGCAGTTAACCAACCAAAAAGCTAGATCATTCATTGCTACTTGGAAATGTCAGCAAGGTTAGGATAACATTGAGTATTTACTGTTCGAAGTGTATTCTATGGCTCCACTAATCTAACCTTAAAAATTACTCTATATGATAAATGTCACAAAAACATGGCCCAGAAAAGTTAAACTATTTTACCAAGTTCACTTAGCTAGTATAAGGGGGATCCAAGATTCAGATGCAAGCAGTGGCTCCAGAATCTCTGCTTTCTGTGAAACTTGCTATAACTAAATTCTATGCATCTGCGATACTGGCTTAGCCATGGGTCATTCTCTAAAAATGAATGAAGGAGATTAAATGACTAAGCCCCTTTTCTCTCAACACTTAGTCACAACAAAAGTCTCCAGAAGATGTCTATGGAGGCCCTAACAATTCTATGTAATCTGCAGTTCTCTAACATGAAGCAATTCATTGCATTCTCAGAATAACAAACGATTCCTACCTTGATTGCTCATATGAGGACAGTGAAGCTCAGGATAGAAAAGCAACTCATCCAAAGTCATAGTTAGCAAAGAATGAAGTGTCACTCCAATCCAGTCCTCCAGATTCTTAATTCATTTTCCACAGCAACTAGCTGCTACTCAGTCTTCCTACCCTTACCCC